TGGCAGAAAGACATCTCCTGTCAATCAGAGTGATGCATATTCCTGGGCAGAGCAACAATTTGGTGGATTCTCCATCTCAAGAGATTGGTGTCACAAGGGTGTGGTTTGATCCGTTTGAGAGAGATACAGGCTAGTGTCCAGTGGACCTCATTGCTAGCAGGACAACAACACGTTGTCTCCTATGGTTTGCGGTAGAGCAAGAGCAAGGGCCACTGTGTGCATGGCACTTAAATCGCTAGTGCATGTGGGATTTCTAGATGTTGCTCCACAAGTGCCTTATGAGCCTCTTGAATGAGCTGACATTAAGCATCTTTCTATGAAGACAACCTTCCTCTTGGCCATAACGTCAGCCAAGAGGGTCAGTGAGTTGTTATGTCCTCTCAGTGAGTCTACAATGCCTTAAGTAGGGTAACCTGAGGATGATTAATTTTCTTGCACTGATGGATGACTTTCCTTCATCAGACCTCAATTTATCATCAAGAGCCACAGGTATTAATTTTGTGTTTTCTATACCTGCTTGTTTTGACTCTCAAAGTGGCGGCACCTGTTGACTTGTATTTTATGAATCATCAAGGACCTCGGTTTCAGCTAAAAATCATCTTTACTGTTCTACTGAAAAAAGAAACACACCTACATCTTGGGTGGCCTGAAGGTAAGTAAATTAACAGCACATTTTCATTTTTGGGTTAACTATTCAGAACTATAACAGTTACATGATCTCTGGATAACGAGTGGCTTTATACATTATTACAGGAAAACATCATGTGATTACTGAACCACTGCACTGGAGCAGCTCTATGAGCACTCTGGCATCAAATCAAACATAAAATACATCAGATCAAACAATAAAATGATCAGTACATGTAACACAAGCCTGTACCAATACATTTCAACTGGCAAAATTAAGCATGAATGTGATTAAACAGCTATTTACTAAATAAATTAAGCCAACTTATGATTCATTTGGTTTCTCTAACCAATACTTTTTTAAATTACAAATGAAATGAAAATTCAGGCATTGACATGTACCAAAACTGCAAGTATTGGCATCATACTCAGTCTGGAAAAACTGGTATTGGATTATCCCCAACAGTGTCTGTGTACAGTGCAATACAACTACCACTTGAAAAATACCCTGGCTGTATCTTGAGGCTTTGGTATGGCGGCTATCACACCAATATATCATGCAAGACTGTCACCCACACATCATTCAAAGGCTCACCCATGCTCACCAACACCCACACATGACCAACACACTTGTCCAAATGCTCAATCATATACTCTCACACACCATGACACCCACACTCTCAGCCACACACCACCACACGCTCTTATTTAATGCTCATCCAGACGCTCACCCACACATCATCTAAAGCTCATGCTCATCTAAACACATGCACAAAATTCAGGCATTAACATGTACCAAAACTGCAAGTATTGGCATCATACTCAGTCTGGAAAAAACTGGTATTGGATTATCCCCAACAGTGTCTGTGTACAGTGCAATACAACTACCACTTGAAAAATACCCTGGCTGTATCTTGAGGCTTTGGTATGGCGGCTATCACACCAATATATCATGCAAGACTGTCACCCACACATCATTCAAAGGCTCACCCATGCTCACCAACACCCACACATGACCAACACACTTGTCCAAATGCTCAATCATATACTCTCACACACCATGACACCCACACTCTCAGCCACACACCACCACACGCTCTTATTTAATGCTCATCCAGACGCTCACCCACACATCATCTAAAGCTCATGCTCATCTAAACACATGCACTCATCCAAACGTTCACACTTACGCTCACCCACACCTTCATCCATATACCCGTGAGGCCTGAAATCACATGCAGGACGGCACACAATTTTACTCACTTCTGAAAGTTAGGTTTATATTGTGCACAAAACATTTATTAGCTGTAACAAGTGTGTCGAATGTTCATCAGTTCATTCACACCTTCAGTAACCCAAAACACATACACTGACTCACCCACGGTGAAATGCACAGACATTTCAAAGCTCTAATCTGGAAATAGTTTTTCATCACTCCGCTCTGACATTAACAGCCTTTTTATTTTAAGCATACTGAACCGTGACCTGAAAACCAAACCATCATATTCATATAGTCCTAATTATTACACATCTACATGACAGTGGTTTACAGACCTTATTATGAGTCTTGATGCCGAAAATCATTTGGACTCACATTTAAATTCAGTAGGTATTATATAAATGATTATACATGAGGGATTATGTACATCTTGCCTTAAAATAGTGTCTTTGTACAATCTGGTAATAGTGTTTGTAATTTATTATGCAGCTTCTCACTATTAAATCTTTTCAAGAGATTCAAAAGGTGCCTTTTTTAATATTGTGATTGTTTATAAACTGCAATTATGCTCATAATCACAATTGTTTTTATTCGTTATATTTCCACTTTGTTCGAATCTGCTGTTGAAAAATACAATATAAAATGCAGGTGCAAGAGCAACGACAGAATTTACATTTATTTATTTTTTTGCATGTTTTTCTATATATCGCAAAACTGTTTAAAACTGTGCTTGAGAAGTGTTTTTGCCTATATTATGTTTACGAAAAATTAATTTGAAACTGGCCTTTTTTGTACATTTATTGAACCAATTCTGTTTTGTGTTACATTAAAGAAATTCAATTCATTATTTTTTGAATATGCTCCCTAACGACTGCATTTTTAGCTATTCTGGGTTTAATACAGTATATAACAGACTTCTGACAAAATCATGTATTGCGACAAAATTATTTAGTTCAGTTACTTATTTTATTTCAAGTGGATAAATGTGGTCAAAACCAACACGATTCTTAATTAAGCAATGAGTGGGGTTGTTTGCACATCATGTAAACATCTTAATTTGAATAAGCCCTTACTTTGATTGTCAATAATCACATTATTGCATGCAATATGCACTTGGTGACTTTTCAGGCCAGAGCAGCAACTCTGGAAAGATCGCAGGCAGATGCAGAATGAGCACACTCTCACACAAAATTCATTCACTCTGGAGATATAATCCATAATAATCATCAATAATACTGCATTTTCTTACATGCCATTATTCCCCTGAGTATTATCTGTCATTTACTAAAACTGACAAATGGACTAAACTCCCCATTTCTTAACATAATGCACTCACTCTGGCCTCATTAGGAGAACTTTATAGTTAAAAGCTCTATAGTTATTACTAATCCAGTTGTGTTTCTTTGAATCTGCTGCACTGGATCCATGCAATAAGTGTTTAGATGATGCACATTGTCATTGGTTTGGTTGGTGCTCACAGATTGGCACAGATATCATAACTGTGAGTTGATGAGCATCATTTAGAGAAGTGATACCACAGTTCACCATAGTACTACATTTACCACGATCAAAATAAACAAACTCAAATTGCCTGTTTTTTAAATTCATAGACGACAACACTGACAAATTAAAAAATCTGCTATTTTTTTTATTTTAGTTATTCTCATTAAGAATGAAAAAATGAACTAGTTTGACATAAAAATGGCCATTGCATTTACATTTAGCAGAGACAAAAAACAACCAATCAATGATAACAAAAGTGTGTGTGTGTCTAAAATTCCAAAAACAGCTGCCTGTTTCTCTTAAACCTGTACAGCACAAACACAATGCTTAGTGTAATATGGCTTCCAATTATTTCCAAACAAGTAAAGAAAAACTGGAATTTTGATCACACTTTATGTTAAGGTCAAATTCTCACTATTAACTATGACTTTTGCCACAATAAACTCCTAATTTGCTGCTTATTAATAGTTAGTAAGGTACATGTTAAGTTTAGGAATGGAGTTTAGTATTAAGATATCTAAAATGTGACCCTGGAGCACAAAAGCAGTCTTAAGTCGCTGAGGTATATTTGTAGCAATAGCCAACAATACACTGTATGTCACGGTTGCCTACTGTGAGGAGCGAGGAAACGAGGGATTTCACACAGAACAGTCTTTAATGATACACAGGCAGAAACACAGGGTAGCCAGGAGTCACACGTAGCACTATGACGTCAAGAACCGACAAACACAGACTGCACAGACTAAATACACAGGATAATTGGGAAGACACAGGTGTATGGGATGACTAATTAAACTAAACGAGGACAGGAAAAAGACCAAATAAGGAAACACTAGAACAGAAACAGGGGCAAAACAGAACATAGACCGTCCAGAATCCTGACAATGTATGGGTCAAAATTATCGCTTTTTCTTTTATGCCAAAAATCATTAGGACATTAAGTAAAGATCATGTTCCATGAAGATATTTTGTAAATTTCCTACCATAAATATATCAAAACTGTATTATCATTAGTAATACGCATTGCTAAGATCTTCATTTGGACAACTTTAAAGGCGATTTTCTCAATATTTTGATTTTTTTGCACCCTCAGATTCTAGATTTTCAAATAGTTGTATCTCAGCCAAATATTATCATATTCTAACAAACTATACATCAATGGCTTTCAGATGCTGTATAAATCTCAATTTCAAAAAATTTATGCTTATGACTGGTTTTGTGGTCCAGGGTCCCAAATATGGTCATGCAGAAAATGGGCTTTAATATGCACTTTATAAGCACTAATAAACAGATAGTAATCTGCATGCTAATAAGCAACTAGTTAATAGTGAGAATTGGTCCCTAAACTAAAGTGTTAATTTTTATGGAAACCCCAAAAGTGATGGTAGCATACGAGATGTCATAATGTTGGTACAGACCACACTACTGAATGAGATATCTACATTTTACAAGCCGCTTTAAAGAATAGCAAAATACTTTATAGACAGACAGACAAAGAGATGCATGCACAGACAGACAGGGAGACAGATGCATGCACATACAGACAGAGAGACAGATGCATGCACACACAGACAGACAGAGAGACAGATGCATGCACAGACAGACAGAGAGACAGATGCATGCACAGACAGACAGACAGACAGATGTTTACCTCTCCACCATGCCCATCGAAGACGCCAAAGATGGTCGGATTGCTCTTGTTGAGTGTGTCCGTGAGAATGTCAAACCTGTCCTCCATGTGGTCCCTCCTGCCCTGGATCGAGTACACCGCCGCACTCTTGCTCCTGTGCTGCCAGGTCCTGGAGAGCTCCTCGTCCAGCTCGTTCTGCATCATCTCCGCCACCTTGCCCTTCATCATGTTCACTGCGTCGCGGCTCGAGCGCACGATGGTCTTCACCTCATCCGTGTGGAAGAGGAAACTCCAGAGAGCCAGACTGAGACAGAAGAGCAGCAGGGTCTCCGGCCGCAGCAGGAGATAGCGCATGATTCGAGCCAGCAGAGACATCAGACCCATGCTCTCACACACACACACACACTGAACTAATGACGGCGGCGCATCAGAGACAGAGACTCGTGCGCTCCTCCTGCGCTGATGACGGGCGCAACAATCAAAATCCTGTTCATGTCGAGACACTCCCTTCGAACATGATTATAGATGCTGTTTGTCTTCTTTTCACAATAATAAACAACAGGTGCAATAATAACCAGATTCCTAAAAAATGGTAAATAAATGGCGTTTTTAGTCCTCCGACGCGGCTTTCTTGTGTGCGCGCGTCTATATATATAATATATATATGCTGACAGAATCAGATCATCAGTCCCAGAGCTGTGTGATTGAGTCTCACACTCACATACAACACGATGGTCTCACACATGTTTATTTTAATTCTACTACACCCCTCTTAGAAATACACCTGTCAGAATAAAAGCCCCAGCTCTGTGCTGGAGTAATGGATGATAAATGGGCTAAATGAAATAGCTGAGAAAAAATATGCAAGTGATAATATGCAAACTTGCAGTGTAATCAAATGGATTGTTGAAGGTTTGTTTTGACTAAATAAATAAATAGCTAAATGGACATGAAATATTGTTTTGATTTGCGGTATATGTGAGAAATAAGAAACATCTGTCCAGGAAATCACTTACCAAGTACAACATTCAGTTGCCCTGTTTTGGTATTAAAGTCACCATGAAAAAATTGGACAATTCTTATTGTTAATGGGATATTGCAATGTTTATTACAGCGGCGTGAGGGCGGGAAAACCTGTCACTCACATGATATCACAGCAATAGCAAACCAAAGATCCAATCAAATCCCGATGGTCCAAATTAAATCCCGCCCTACATTTGTTCTTATTTGAGAAAATCTGGGGTCGGTCTTCATCTGAATCACAAAAACAGCTACAATCCAATACAAACCCTCCTTCATGTACTCTTTCAGAAGATGTGAAATAGCTTCTTGACATGATGTTAACCACACAAACAAACAGTGTTTGAGGGCGGGTCGAGTTAAACATAGGCGGGCATTATGCAAATGTGCAAAAAGTTCCCAAAACAGTTATCTTGTGTTACTGTGAATTAATTGAGAAATGTGCAATATGACGACTCTAGTTAAAGGTGCCATAGAATGCATTGATACAATATTTTAAATTGTTCTCTGATGTCTCCCGAGTGTGTATGTGAAGTTTTATCTTAAAATACCCCACAGATAATTTTGTATAGCTTGTTGAAATTGCCACTTTTAGGGTATGAGCTAAAAAGTGCAGTTTTTGTGTTTGTCCCTTTAAATGCAAATGAGCTGGTGCTCCCGCCTCCCTTTTCAGAAGAGTGCAGAGCTTCAATGCTAGCGGGCACATACCGGTGTTACGGTTTAACTGGTGGTGACCGTGTTACTGACTTCACATTGCTTCCAAATGCAATTTTTAGCTACCACATTCTGGTAGCACGTGAAGGCAGCATTAGTGAAAACAGGCAGACACAATGGTAGCTTTAGCAACATTAGCCTTACAGAGAGCCAAGAAGCTCTTTTGGAAAACAAAATATGACGCGTGATGCTTACTTTGTCTGTAGTTTGTAGTTCGTTTGCGCACGAAGCATTGGTATCGATCCCTCTTTCAGAAGTAATCTTTGCACAACTCCAGCGCTGAACTGACCCTCGTTTGTGATTAGCACAAACATATTGGACTTTAATGTTTTTCCGGGACATTTCCTTCGAAAATGAAATTTAACCACCGTGTCCTTAGCGGTGTATGGAGACTGCTATGTTCGTTGGTGCATCCCAACGCACGACACTTGTAATGGCTCTTTGGCGCTGACATTGTACAGCATTCTCACTCAGGGCGGGGTCTATGCTAATAGGGCAGAGAGCATCACAAATGGGCGGGACTTTCCCAACGATGATGTCATAATAGGGATAAATCTGGAACTGCTCATTTGGAGAGACTGTTTATGATTTATTGGGATTATAAAAAAATGAGTGGGTGGCTTTTTACCATTATAGGCTGGTTGTTTTCACACACTGCAGCCACACAACTGTGTTCGACCACCTTATAAAAGTGATTTTTGCATTCTATGGCACCTTTAAGAAAGTCCCACCTTCTAAAAACACAGAGGGGAGGCTCATGACTTAACAGTTCAGGGTCAGGGCCTTAGTCTCCTGATCCGCTCTTAGGACTGCACGTGTGCATTGGCCAGACCAACACAAAACAGATGCTTCTTAACACTAGCATAAAAAACAACATTTATGAGACTGTTCATGTCAGATTTTATTGCTGGTTTGAAATATGTTATGTGAGTTTGGCAAAAAGTTTTTGAGATTTTGGTATTTCCCCATTCCAAGTAGAAAGTTGGTCTTGCATGACCGAAATAGCTGCCAACATGAACAGTAGTGATGGGCGCTTCGAAACACTGCTTCATGAAGCTTCGAAACCTTTACAAACCTTTAGTATAATCAGTGGTTCAGAACTGTCACGTGATTTCAGTAAACGAGGCTTCGTTACGTCATAACTGTTTCGGAACGTTTCAGAATTTCAGCAGTTTGCCGTTGGGCACGAGCTCTGTTAACCGCCGCAAACCATTCAACCAGTGTTTATAGTTTATACCTGATCAGTTTTATCAATTTGTAGTCATCTTAATGAGGAATTTGTATGATTAAAAGGAATAGCAGTACTTAATAGTCTCTTATTGGCCTGTTTACCTGAGCCATACATAGAACAAACAAAACAAGCTCTGAAAATTGATTAAAGAACAGGTTATACTGACACTTAAGATTTAATGGTGATTATTGCATTTGCTAGATTATTAAAGTGACGTGATGTGTAGCCAAGTATGGTGTCTCTCTTTTTATGCATGTTTGGCCTGAGTTTTCATTACATTTTACACCATTCTGACCAGCAGGCGTCACCAGAGTGTGGTGTTTCGAACGCTTTGAAACAAATAATAATAATAATAATAATAATAATAATAATAATTAGGCCAGGCAAGCTGTTTTTTTTTTCCGTCAGGGACATTTTGCATTCCATATTTAATGAGTTCAATCTTTTCCACACAGCCCAAATTACATTTATTCATTTTCACAAACTGTAAATGCACCTTTTTAAATGTTATCAGAAATGTATTTTTGCTATGCCTACTAATTACGCTTATTATTTTGCATTTTAGGCTCATTTGATCACAGAGTATGTGCTTCAAATGTTATTGTTGCAAGTGCAATTTAGTTGATTATTATTATTATTCATATAGGGGTGTACCTTTGCACACAAACCTTCGGGAACATTTAGAATTGTGTGCAAAACACTCCTGTACCCTGCTCAAGTCCTGTTATAAAGTGCATACAGACAAAATTATTTCTTTTAACATAGGTAGCATAGTAAGCGACTAGTTGTGCTCTGATCTTAATCTTCACATTCCCTGAGAGCACACGTACATCACAGAGACGTCTGCATTACATCTGCAAGACGTATTTTTAGTGTTTGCTCATCTGCAATACATCTATAAAACGTTTCCTATCAGATGTCAAATAGACGTTTAGAAGATGTCTTTTAAGATGTTTATGATTTCGAATGCATGTAATGGATAGTGCAGTTAGGGTCGGAGCACAGCTGAGAAACATTGCCAGAAATTATAAAGCGGATAGTTCCGGTTAGTGTTGTCACGGTACCAAAATTTCAGTATTCGGTACCAATACCAGTGAAAATCCACGTTTCTCGGTACCAATTTCGGTACCAAAGCAAAACACAAAAACATGCTAATTAAAAAAAAATGGACTATACTTTCATTTAATCCAAACTGTGTACATATTTAAAAAGAAAAACTGCAGTGCTTTACAAATATAGGATTCACTGTAAACCACGGCTTCACGGGGCTTATTGCTTTATTAACTCACAGCTGATAAATGCTTTATGAGCAGTATATAATGGCCAGATTTTAGTTTTTGGGTGAACTATCCCTTTGAATCATAAAAAGCAGATGAAAGCATCATAAAACTCCTATTAACTACATGTTGATCTTTGTCTTCTCTTGTCAAGAACATAAATGACAATGAATGGGCCTCGTTACTAACGAGATATGTGCACGGCTCAAAGACGAAGAGGTTTTAAAGCATCAAAACAACAAAAGTTTCATACAGCTTTACACTTTTTCTTCCGAACATTAGAATGCGTCCCATTTACTTTCGTGTTTCTGCGCAAAAAGTAATGACTATCATATAATTTTACCATGATTTACTGAAGACACACACTAAAATGTCCTTCAGTGCAGCAAAATTAAAAAATCACCGTTCAGCCAAAACAAATGAATGATCATTTTTAAATCTTTAGCAATCTCTGCCGCTCTCCTTCAAGCCACTAGGTTTTACTCATTTGTCAACAAGAAGGTTTTAATCATTTAAAATATAGTAAAATTTAGTATGAGCATTTACATATATATATATATATATATATATATAAGGTCAGAATAATGTCATTTCATTTTTACGTAAATATATCTGTTACGCTGAATGACGATGGATCATTATTTCACCCATATTTTGGCATTTTGTTTTCACAAAAGTTATTTGAAACATTAAAGCAGACACTTAACTTGCATTTATTATGCTTTCTGTGTATATAAAATCACTTTTGTAAATTTCATTTGATGCAGACACCGAAATGGGACATCTCACGTACAAATGATTTTGTGATCAAATCATGATTCAAAAATAACTTGCATATTTAAATGTATTATGAAAAAAAAAAAAAAATTAGGAGTTGAAAGCACATGTATGCAAAAATCACATACTCTGGCGGCCTTTTAAATGTGTTAAATTGAGAGTTTATACATTGATTCTCTTCATATTTGTATTAAAAGTCTAAGTAAATGACTAGGGTTGCAAAAAGGTGGAAAATGTCCAGTACATTTTGGAAACTTTCCAGGATTTTTTGGGAATATTCCAGGGATTTTTGGAATGTTTTCGGAAATTTTCCACCCCTTTGCAGCCCTATAAATGACAGACATTAAAAACAAACTGAGCAGTGCAAAAGAATCTAAAGGAAAGCAGAGTTTTAGCTGCTTTTTTAAACGTCCAAAGGGAGAGCAACCTCAAATTCTCTCGTGTGAATAAATGCCAATAATCTGTGCAACTGTAATTCAGTTTTTATTGAAGAGACCCATTGTTTTGATTAAATTGCTAAAAATGAATTGGCAAACACCTCTCCAGTTTTTCCAGAGGAGAACATATATGTTGTAGTTGATTCAGAATATGCTTGCGTGTGTACAGGAACACTGCATCGCTCTAAAGCATGTCGGCGTCTTTTTTTTGGAGCTGAAGGATTAACCAGAATATGGATTTAGAAAAGTAAGTGTGTGCTCGTGTCTAAACGAGGGTTACCTGTGTGTCTGTAGGTACCTGCAGCCTCTGGGGACGTGGCTCCAGTGCGCTCTGGAGTCCCACGAGCTTCTGGCTCTGTGCCTTAAGAAACTCAAGGCTTCCGTGGCAAAGGTCAGTAACTCGCAGAATCATCATCGCATCGAGGACAGCTGCAGCTGATGCTGAGTTCACATCGTGTTTCGTTTATTACCATCAAGGTGAGACTTATCGATGCGGGCTTCTTATGGACGGAGCCGCACTCTAAAAGAATCAAGATGAAGCTGACCATCCAGAAAGAGGTAGTGTAGGAGACTTCTAGACTGAGGGGACTCCAGATTGACTGTTTCAGTGAGGCTGATGTGTCTGTAGGTCATGAATGGAGCCATTCTGCAGCAGGTGTTCGTGGTGGAGTTTGTCATTCAGCCTCAGATGTGTGAGGATTGCCATCGGGTGGAGGCCAAAGACTTCTGGAAAGCAGTCGTGCAAGTCAGACAAAAGGTACACGCAGGAGACACATGCCTGGGGCTGAGGGTCGCAACACAAAAATGTGTCCCTGGAGCACAAAAGCAGTCTTAAGTCGCTGGGGCATATTTGTAGCAATAGCCAACAATACATTGTATGGGTCAAAATTATAGATTTTTCTTTTATGCCAAAAATCATTAGGATATTAAGTTAAGATCATGTTCCATGAAGATATTTTGTAAATTTCCTACCGTAAATATATCAAAACTTAATTTTTGATTAGTAATATGCATTGCTAAGAACTTCATTTGAACAACTTTAAAGATGATTTTCTCAATATTTAGATTTTTTTGCACCCTCAGATTCCAGATTTTAAAATAGTTGTATCTCAGCCAAATATTGTGCTATCCTAACAAACCATACATCAATGGAAAGCTTATTTATTCAGCTTTCAGATGATGCATAAATCTCAATTTTGAAAAATTGACACTTATGACTGGTTTTGTGCTCCAGGGTCACATTAATGTGAGTGTGTTTGATTTCAGTTGCTGAGGTGGATGGGAGCACGTTCTGGCGTCATCCGTTCAGCAGTCTGTGTAGCCCGCGGCAGCTGGAGGAGTTCATCGTCATGGACATCGACATTATCAGAGATCAGCGGTTAGGAGCCGGCGCCGGTCTCACGTCCAGTAAGGTAAGAGACGTCAGGTGTGCAAGTAACAACACCTACATACTCCAATAAACTAGAGGCACAGAACTGCTCCAGCTGTGCTCTTCAGGGCTGCACGATGATGGTTAAACAGTTCAACATGATTATTGTGTTAAAAAATCTCACAAACCAAAAGAACGTCAACTCACATGGTTTGCTTGCAGATTTAATCACAGCGAACAGCGCAAACAACCCTGTGAAAGAAAACAGATCGGATGCATTACACTTTTATTGGAGCAGAATATCTCAATAGAGATTGCTAAACTTTTTGCGTAATGTTGAGATGGTTGCCAGGTTGGGAAGATTAAGTAAACCATTTGGCAGAAAATTATCGATTTAAGAGAAAAGCTCTGATTGGGAGATTTAAAGGGATAGTTCACCCAAAAATGAAAATTAGCTCATGATTTACTCACCCTCGAGCCATCCTAGGTGTGTTTGACTTTCTTCTTTCAGACGAATACAATCAGAGTTATTAAAAACAACTTCCAAGCTTTATAATGGCAGTTAATGGGTGTGTTTTTTCAATAGTCCAATAAAGTGCATCCATCCATCCATCATAAAAAGTGCCTCACACGGCTCCGGGGGTTAATAAAGGCCTCCTGAAGCGAACCGATGTGCTTTTGTAAGAAAAATACCCATATTAGAAACCGTAATCTCTAGCTTCCGCTAATTGTTGTACGCTACAGTTAGCAGAACCCATATTATGGATGGGCTTTATTGGATGTCTTTTGGACTATTGAAAAATAACACCCATTCACTGCCATTATAAAGCTTGGAAGAGCCAGGATATTTTTTAATATAACTCTGATTGTATTCGTCTGAAAGAAGAAAGTCAAACACACCTAGGATGGCTTGAGGGCAAGTAAATTTTTTTAGAGTAGATTTTCATTTTTGGGTGAACTATCCCTTTAAGCTCTTGGTTGAAGACATGCGATGGCGCCGCAGACGGCAGCCTCAGTGTTTGGCTCTCCAGTGTTTGTACTGTTTTTGTTAGTTTTTCCTGTTTTTTGTTTCTCAAACACGATCAGTTCTTGGCAATAAAGCTCTTTCTGATTCTGATTCTGATCTGGCAACCGCAGCCATGAAAAATGTGCCAAAGTGCCCAATTAATATGAAACGCTTTCAGGATAAATAAGCAGCGGGCATTATGCTTAATACATCAAGAGAAGCAGAAATTGCAATCACAATTCAAATATGATTTATCATGTATCCCTAGTGTTCTTCATGCAACTCTTTATTCAAAGTCCAGTTATTGAGATCGAAACGGTTCATGAAATGTGTCAAGTAATGTTTTTGCACAATGTAATAGAAGTTTGGGGGAAAAAAATCCTTTTTATTCTGTCTAGAGTGAAAGTGTTGTTTTTAAATGCTGGTAACTGGTTAATGTTAATTTTGTTCCAATCCAAAGACTTCTTTAAATTATTGTTCAGCTAGACTGTGTTCAGGATACTCTGTATCATTAGGCATTATGTTCATCATAATCCTGTCAGATGCATTTCAAATGGATGTGTTTCTTTAAGCTTTCCTTGTCTAAGAGCACAGAGGCACAGAAGCTCATCTGAAGACAGAATGATGTGCTTTAGTGTGACTTGTGCTAACAGGACAAATGGATTTGGTACGTTTGATTGTACTTTTGCAAATCCAGTGACGTGTGTGTGTGTGTGTGTGTGTGTGTGTGTGTGTGTGTGTGTGTGTGTGTGTGTGTGTGGGCCCCCTGCGGAACATTGGAGACCTGGTGCTGGGGTCAGTTCACATGCCTCACATCGCTTCAGTGATTTAATGCATGAAAACAGGTCAATGAGTTGATTGTAACATGCTTTTGTTTTTACCCCAGCTTTGATTTTACCAATGCCAATATCAATGATGAGTTCCTCAATAAGATGAACCCTCACCATGTTCCTGACGTGGTAAGACAGTCACGCATTACATCTTTACAACTCATGTGCATGTAAATGATGTGCAGTACAAATACAGTGGCCATAAAAAGGGTTTTGACACTTAAACACTTCTGTATGGCATTGGGTTAGATAAATAAAATGTGCAAAGGAACACCGCATAAGCTTTTTTCTAATATCATTAATTAAATTTGTTGCGTTTACTTGTAATATGAACAAACTAAGATTATTAAAAACCCATGACCGTGGCATTGCTAGCTACAGTAGGGCCCCATGATTTCTGCGATGCTGAAAACATGGACAGAACCGCGGAATCCAGTCATAAAAATAGAATTTAGTGTATAACGCAGAATGTCACGCAATTTGCCAGATTTTGGATGAATAAATCAAAAGTAGGTCTTTTGAGGTAAATCAAAACGTGATATTTAAATATGAATTCTGCGTGTCTCTGTGTGAATGAATGGCAGACGTGCGGCTTCGTTTCGTGCCGCCTCAATAATATACGAGCACATGAACACAAACAATCTCTAGAACTGCTCTGAGAGTCACTTCATCAGTATTTTACTGTTTCTTTTGATAAAAACTATCGTCATATATACAAACAGAAACTTGAGTCTTCACAGCAACCCGTCAAAATAAGAGTTCGGTTTAACTTGAAGAAACTGTGACAAATATACTATTAATGCCTTGATAGTACTACTACTACTATTAAAACTATTTTTATTAAGGAATAATCACAATTTTTCTTCCATGTTTTAATTATAACTATAAACCTCTGTAGTGCATAACTTTGTTTGCATAACTTTGTTACGCAGTGCCTGAAAATAGGCTAACTTCCGTCAACATAACCAACGTGACCACGGTCTTAGTAGACGATGTAACTACAGAAGAGTCAAGTTTTAAATAGGAAAAATATAGAAACTCTTTGGTCATTTTTGAGCGAGATGCTAACGGTCTAATCAGATTCAATGATCTATGCTAAGCTACGCTAAAAGTGCTACCGCCAGACCCGGAGACCGGCTGAATGGATTCGGTAAAACTCAACTGTTTAACTCCAGGGGAGTTGGAAAATGAGCCTATTTTCAAAAATAGTGGAGTGTTCCTTTAAATTTTCCATTACGGATGCATCACGTCTAACTCAGCTGCAAGAGATGAAATCACATTTTTATAATTTCTTGGGTCAGGAAAGAGAGTGTGTGATATATTCTCTCACACTTAAATTCAGTAATCTGACAGGTTAAGGTAGGGTTGGGCGATAAACAATATCATATCGAGATCACAGTAAATGTTTGATGATGAGCTCTGGACATTTTTACACTCTTTCTGCTGTGATTGGCTGTTAATCCACATAAAGGTGGCGGCAGCAGTCAGCGCATGTTTAATAAGTCTACATGTTCTTCTGCATGTCTGTGTGTGAATGAATGGCACGGTTTCGTCTGATACACACAAACATGTGGCACTCGCAGTGTTTTCAATGTATGAGACATGATCTCCAGAGCTGCTCTGAGTCACTTCAGCAGCTTTTCATTTGAGAAAACAACTACTGAAACTCAAAAGATCTTCCACACTACTGTGTTCTAGAATGTACTTCACAAAGTAGTAATAATAATAATTGTAAACAATAACAAAAAGGTAATTTTTCATCCGTTTTAATTTATAGTTTTGTTGTATTGCATCTTATCTGACAAAATAAAAAAAGCAATGTTTTGTTGTAAATTGTAAATTATTTCATTTGATTACATTTTGTTACTTTTATTAAATCATTTCATTAGACACTATTTTTGATGATACATTTGTATTAAATCATAAAACGCAGAATCCAGAAAAGATGAGAATTTAGGGGGAAATAAAAACAGATTTCATGAGGCCCAAAATTAAAAAGTATTTTTCTTTGTGTAGTCAATTGTGAACAAATAAGTTGCGTTTACTGTACATTCATTCTCAAGGTCTAACAGACAAGTGGAGAACATTTCCTTCCCCATTCATGCTAACTGAATATTGTGATAAAAAAAATTCCTGTGGTAATATTCATGGCCTTAACCTGTTATTTCTTTATCCGGAGTAAATATGACCCCACACACACTGTCTGCTTATTAAGGCTTATCGGGTTAAAATAAAAAAAAGAACATGCATATAAACATGCTCAGTGTTGGCTCATGTTCACTAATGAATGAACTAATGTTGAGACCTAATGAGACCTTACTGTAAAGTGTTACGTAATATTTAAGAGGAAAACTTCAGTGGCTTTAATAAGATGGTAAACTTGAAGCTCTCTTTGTTTTCATTTTATTACTTTTATCTTTATTTACTTAAAATGGCATGTAGCCTTAAAGTATTTATTATTATTGATTAGCTTTAATATTTTAATTAAACATGTGACTTCAGTTCATTAGAATAGATTAAAGGAGTGTTCAAAGCAAATGAGTGTTTCCTGTGGTACTGAAATGATCGTTTTAGTATAACAAAACAGCTTAAATTATAATTGAAACGTCAATTTAGAATGTAAATCAATCATTATTCTTTCTGATTTAACTTGTGGCCTGTTTGATGGTAATCACAGACAATACACTGAATTCCTGGAGGACCTGGAGGAAGATGAGATGCTGAGGAAGAACGTCAACATCTTCAGAGGTGAAGAAACACACCACTGACGACGCATCTCTTGAATGAATATTCTCCCTGTGCTCTTATCAGAATCATTCTGCCTGTACAGATGCTTCAAAGATCCCTGTGGTAAGTGAGACGGATGACGACGGCGCTCCCAGGATCTCTCTGGCGGAGATGGAGGATCTGAGCCTGAGCGACGCCACCGGTGGAGCAGGAGCTCATATGATGACTGATTAATATACAGCACCTCAGAACAGGGCAGGTGTCAGCTAAAACTAGCCCGACAGACACGGTTAATTCTCATGTTCATTGCTCTGTCTTTAAGAGAGCTGCATTTCCTAATGTGCCGGTGCGGTGATGCAGTAAATAAAACATCTTAACCGTCTCTGTATGACAGGTGGTTGAGAAATAAGACGGATGGTTGACTCAAAAAATGAAAATGCTGTCATTTACTTGTCCTTATGTCATTAAAAACCTAAAGACTTCCTTTATTCTGCCGAACAGAAAATTAGTTTGTTTAATGAACATCCAGTTGCGTGAGATCAGTGGCAGTATATACAGGGTTCCCACGCTTCTTGAAAGTGCTTGAATTTCAGGCATATGGATTCAAGGCCTGGAAAGTACTTGAAAACAAACATAGGTCCTTGAAAGTGCTTGAATTAAATTTTAAATAAATTTTGTTTATGGCGCTATTTAAAAAATTGTCCTATATGTTCTGTTAAAGACAGAACAAGCGGCACTAATGATTGGGGGTGGAGATGGGGGAGCGCGGGAAAAAAAAACCGTGTTGACAAGCAGCCTAGAGTCCTGAGCGGGACAGTTTTCTTAAGCCCGCTCCCGCTGAATTTCTGAGCATTACCGCCCACTCCCGCAACGTGTGTGTCATGCTCCCGCACACATTCTTATTGTCTTGTATATATTTCATCAACGAAAATAGTTCCAAATATAGTAACAGCTGAGCCACTGAGCATCTCTGAGCAAACACAGTCGAGTTTCATTCATGAATGAAAGTGCGTTTTTGAACGAATCTAGTGAGTCAGTGATTCATGATTACTCATACATAAAGATTTCATTCCTGAATGAATCAGCTGTTCAAACGAATCAATTGAATGAATGATCCAGTGATAAAATCAGTGACTTACCGCCA